GTGCATGCGTGCCCAAGATTCCGAGAAGAGAATGGAGAAGGGACTGCCTGAGGGATGATTTCTCATTTTCTGTCTGTCTCTGTCTTTCTGGCAAGTGCACATGCCCTGTATCAAAAACCTCTCCAAAAAAATTAAATAAATAAAAAATAAAAACACACTCCACTAAGATAGTCACTGCTATTACCTTAAAATTAACTTGCTAAGCAACTTGTAAATAAAAGTCTAGAATAAATGTATCTCGAGTGATATTTGAATGCTATACTTTTGCAAGTTCTTGTCACAAAGAACTTGGGACATCTGACATTTCCAGTACGATCTTATGAAGTGAGTAAGGTTATTTCCACATTTATGACTTGCTGATGCATTCCTTTTCTGGAGTGTCCATCCACCTATATGCAGAATTTTGCTATGATGACATGACACAGTACTAAGGTCCGGACTCCTGCAGAAGCCAGGCACAGGCTCCCTCTCTAGACAAAACTCCACATTACATCTGACTGAATGCCCTCTACTTCAACCCAACATAAGCTGGAAAATCCTAACAACAGAAAACATCAGGGTTATGTCCTGGAAAATCCAGTGGAAGTTAAAACTATTCTAAGCAGAGACTGCATTTAATATACCTTACTTAATGAACATCATAGCATAGCCCAAGCTACATAAAACATGCTCAGAAAACAGCCACTAGCCTACATTTGGGCCACATTCTCTAACATAAAGCCTACTTTATACTATAGTTCCAAGTATCTCATACAATTTATTGACTACTATACTAAAAGTAAAGAGAATGGCTGTATGGGTCCTCGAAGTACATTTCTACTGAGTGTAACTTCTCTGAGACAATGCTATTTATCGAAACCATAGTTTGATACAAATGCATAAATATAAAAAAAAAAAAAAGCCTCCCATGGCATCAAGCCAGGAAGACCCAGGCTCTGTTGAGCAGACATTGGTGAGTGTGCCTATGCAAACGCTCGTTCAGAGTTCACTTAGAAAACGTTTGTGCTTCAAGGCATCAAGCAAACATGGTATAAACCGGAACTAGGGCCCTCAGCTACACACTCATCTTCCTCCTTCAGGCAATCAGTCCCTTTAGACAGAGGATGTTCTCTTGGAAACCGTGCACTGCCACCTAGGGGAAGGCACGGGGTGGGGGCTGGAGATTTAACACCCAGCCTGCCTCTACTCCTGACAAATGTGCCTGCTAAGGAAACAGGATTCCAATCCCTTTATGATGCAAGGAGGTAAATACCATTGTGTAATGTATATATTCCCTATGAATGAGTGGAACATGTCTGAGGTTGTGGGGATTCTTGAACTACAGAGGTATGTGCTGAAAAAGAAGCCAATAAATGAGAAGAACTAAACACAACTCCAACATTCCCCCAGTCCCCGTCAATGTCAGAACGATAGAATATATGGCTAGTTCAGAGCTATTTTATGAGAGGATCAGCCGCTGGGTGGTGGTTGAGGCAGCTGGATCCCACATGGCTGGCTGTGCAGTTTGAGTTCCAGACCGGGTGGCCTGAAAAATACTTCGAGTACATGTGCCTACATGCCCACAATACAAGGAGAAAGGGGGTGTTCCTTCAAGAACCATGAGCGCATGCACCCTCTAGATAATTAAAAGAGCTTTATGATAAGGAATTTAAGGTGAGAGGAATCCCCAGAAAATAAAAACTGTTTATTTAAAGTCTAGTTCCTCCTACTTCAATAACGAATGCTTACAAAACCACCACAAAAGAGAAACAAGCTTCAGTATCTGGCTTTCTTCCCAAAGTGGTTTGTTCCCAAACACCACACTCATCCAAAGCTATTCAAGGAGTATTTACTGCCCACAGCCCTGTGGTAGCATAGTTGGACATGAGATGCAAAGCGGAAAATCTCTGGAGGAGTCCTCCTTTGCATTTAAGAGATCAAGACCTTAATTACTCTTCTTAGCCAAGACCAAGGGGAACATTCTGGAGACAACCCCCCTCTACTCTCCCCACTGCATGGGAGGAAGTCCAGACACTGAACAAGGTCCCAACTGCAAGTAAAGAGCTGCAAATTGATACAACCTTGAATTTTTTCCCTTACAAATAAGCACGTTTTCTGAGTGTTCTATACAATATAATAGCGGTGAAGTGCCTTAAAAGCTGGGCCTAAGCTACTAGACTATAATCAAGATGCTGTAATGGCTGAGAACTGCCAAGTCGGACAAGGCGGGTGGCTTCCTCCAGTACCAGGAGCTCAGTGTTTCCAGGGCTACCAGTGACGCCAAGTACAGCTACGGCACTGTCAAGGCAGCCTGTGCTGAGGCCCGGGCAGAGCAGACTTCTGCCTGCAGACTAGGGTTCACAGCCCTACACCCTGTACAGCAGGCTGCCTCCTCTGCTCCACCGCTCCCGCCGCCCCAGCCTTCCCAGAAGCCCTTCCACCTGCTTGGAGTCTGTTGTCTCTTTAGTACTGTCACCGGATGGGAGAGTTGATCTGCGTTGGGTAATATCTTTGGCTCTTTAAGTCCAGCTCTCTAAGGTTAGAGACCCATCCTGAGACACAAAATGAAAAACCACAAACACTTGTAAAGTAGGAAAAGGGAAGTTTTAATAAGAAAGTGAGGATTTTTTAATGGGAAAGGGGTACACCTCCACGCCTGAAGGGCATGCAGGCGGGCAGCTGCCAGAGAAGGTAACTGTGTAGGTTAGGTGCTACATTTATCCCCAGAGCAGATAATGAATATTGAGCAGAAGATCTGTCAGAGCTGGCTTCTTTGTTTGAACTCACAGGGCTTTTTCCTGCACTTGCGCATCTCTCCCACAGATGAGGAATTCAATGACCTAATCCCTCATGCTCGGTGTGGACTGAAATGTGAGCATTCTTATTTGGACGAACTACCCAAGGAGTTTATTGCACCAGTGGGAATTAGGATGTTGACCAAAACGTCTCCTTGGGTTGCTCTGTATTTATGAGGAATGTTACGAGGGAGATTTACAACTATCCCTGCGTCTTCCTCAGGTACTAAGGGAGGAAAATGGGATCTGCCTTGCCTTCAGGAGCTGGGCGGGAGGAAGGAGTCTCTGCAGATCTGGAACCACAAACACTTGTAAAGTAGGAAAAGGGAAGTTTTAATAAGAAAGTGAGGATTTTTTAATGGGAAAGGGGTACACCTCCACGCCTGAAGGGCATGCAGGCGGGCAGCTGCCAGAGAAGGTAACTGTGTAGGTTAGGTGCTACATTTATCCCCAGAGCAGATAATGAATATTGAGCAGAAGATCTGTCAGAGCTGGCTTCTTTGTTTGAACTCACAGGGCTTTTTCCTGCACTTGCGCATCTCTCCCACAGATGAGGAATTCAATGACCTAATCCCTCATGCTCGGTGTGGACTGAAATGTGAGCATTCTTATTTGGACGAACTACCCAAGGAGTTTATTGCACCAGTGGGAATTAGGATGTTGACCAAAACGTCTCCTTGGGTTGCTCTGTATTTATGAGGAATGTTACGAGGGAGATTTACAACTATCCCTGCGTCTTCCTCAGGTACTAAGGGAGGAAAATGGGATCTGCCTTGCCTTCAGGAGCTGGGCGGGAGGAAGGAGTCTCTGCAGATCTGGCTGTAACTGCTGAGAAGCTGTGACTGATGGGGCTGATGTCCTGCTGTCTTCCTAGGGCTATCCGCTCACTTCTAGCTAACTGCCCACCACAGTACAATGTATGGCTTTCTCAGAAAAAGACAAAGAGCAGACAAGTCAAACCTCTGGAGACAGAAAGTAGATTACTGGTTGCTTGGGGCTGAGGTTTTTTCAAGTTTTGCCATAGGACATGTACACTCGCTGGAGATAGAAAGTGGGAAAGTGAGAAAGCACCCCCCCAGGAGGGATGGTCAAGCCACAGTCCGTTCCCCCATTCTCTTCTCAGGATTTGGGGCCCACATCCATACATGTGCAGTGTGATTTTCAAGCTGGGTCCAGAACTAGAACCGTGCAGTTGCCCACATGAGATCCAGCTACCTTAACCACCACACCAGTGGCTGGCCCTGGAAATGTTTTTAAATTGCATTGTAGTGATGGTTGCACAACTCTGTAACTACCCTTAGAGTACATGGGCTTGGGAAAGCCTCTGTACTCTCCTGCTTTGGCTTCCGTAAGAAAACTGTGCCTCCCTCCCCAAGGCTGCCCCTTGGTCAGCTGACACGTTGCAGCTAATCACAGAGTCAATCACAAGCAACCGTCCTTTTAAATTGTGTTAATGCAGACAAACTTTAAGATGTAACCAATCTAACTGCTCCTCTACCTCACTTCCACTTTTGTATGTTACTTTCCTGTTCTGGAATGTAAGTATCACTGACCAGGAGGCTTACCCGGAGTGCCCTTGGAAGCCATTCTGGGGTCCCTGATTAGAATGGTGCTTATTTTTGCTCAATTAAACTCTACTAAATTAAACTGTCTTAAGTTTTTCTTTAACAACATATCAGACATTGCTAAATTGAACACTTAAAAGTAGGCTAATTTTATGGTATGTGGCTTATCTCCCAATAAAGCTGTTAATTTAAAAAATGTATTAGATGTGAGGTTCCACTCAGTAAGGCTCTTCTGAGTACCACCTGGCATTGCTCCGGGCCTGACAGATCTCTGCAGAACTGGTCTTGGCAGGAGTCTCCACCCCAGGTGCTGCTACTGCAAGGTCACACTGCCCAACAAGTAGCAGACAATGACACAGAGCGAGTACTGAGAGGCCTGACTCCCCAGAGAGGGACCAAAAAGCTCCCAATACAGCCTTCCAGGACAGCGTGATTGCCCTAGAAAGGAACCCCTTCCTCCTGGTGGTGGGCTGAAACACCTCGGCTTGACAGCTCCAGGTGCTCTTTATCTCAATAAACTTCTTTTTTTCTTGAAATGATGCCTCCCGAGTCTTACTCCAAACTGTGACATTGTGTATGTTAAACCATGAGCATGTCTACCCAAAGGTGAGAGAAACAGCTTTGCGGAAAATGCCGAAATATAAGCAAATAAAATTACAAGTTCGTTCAGAATTCTTTCTTTAATTGTAGGGGTAAAATCAGGCAGCCATTGAGGATAAAATATAGTCCCTGGGAGCGATCACAATGCTGTTGTGTCGTGTTTTGTTTTTAGAAAGTGGACACGATAAGAGTTACTCTTTTATCAGCCCAAGTGGTCGACAGCGGCTGAAATGTCCTCATTCCTCGATTGTCTCTTTTTTACCAGTCTCCTGCCCTTCAAACTGAGGATACCGTGCCTCCACGTCGGCCCATGAGATGCTCCCGTTGGCCAGATCGCAGACTACACTGGGCAGTTCAGAGATCTGGGAGAAAAAGAAGAGAGTCCAAGTATCAACCAACCTGTTTAGATTTCAAAAGGCAGAACTTCATACAGAGCTAAAACAATGCCTAATTCCAGTGCCCTGTATGAACCCGGCCTCCACGATACTTCTCCTCTCTCCCCTCAAGCCTCGGCACTCAGTTACACTCTCCTTCCAGCCATAGCACCATCGGTTCCCCCAGATGACTCAATCATTTTTTTAGGAATAATTTATTTAAATTTACTTATTCATTCATTTACTTTTAATTTAACCAGAAAGAGACAGAGAAAGAGAGAAAGTGAGAAAGCAAACCACCAGGTCTGGGACTCAAACCAAGGTTGGCCACGTAGGGGTGTCCAGAGCCTTTACCACCACGCCACCTGCTGGTCCCCCAGATGACTCAATTCTAACACAAAGCTGTTCCTCACAACTCTGAATCTCGGGTCACTTAGAGTTACTTCATGTATGTTTGATTCACCCCTTGGACAGGAATCAGTCACATAACCTGTGTGACGGGCGCCAGGGGAGGCTGGCTAACTGGACAGTCCCAGCTCAGGAGGCCAGCTGCTCCTCGGCCACAACCAAGTGGCAGCTGCCACACAGCAGCAGCTCTCACCGTGCAGTGTGCGTCAGGATCAGGGGGTGGTGTGCAGGAGCACCTGCCGGGACTCTCCCTCTCCAGACCCATTTCTTTCTTTTCTTTTTTTTTAGAATTATTTTATTTAACTTTATTTATTGTTATTATCATTATTATTTTCCAGTGTGATCAGAGAGACACGGAGAGAGAGAGAGAGGAAGTGAGAAAGCAGGCCACCAGGTCCGAGACTTGAACCGTGGTCGGCCATGTGGGAGTCCAGCGCCTTCAACCACCATGCCACTTGCTGGCCCCTCCAGATCCATTTCTGATGTAAAGGTCTGGGGCCGAGATCCTGCCCAGCAAGCTCCCGGGTAAAGCTGATGCTATGGGCCTGGGGACCACACTGAAGCCACGAGGCCCAAGCTGGTTTGTGAAAAGACACACCAGAAACCCACAACCTCTGAATTAGACTACAAACTCCTCTGGGCAAACAGCCTGTTTTCCTTCTTACTAACTCTGTACCAAGCTGAGCACCTAATACATAAAGACCTGCTCCAAGTTATAGGTTAGTCAGGCAGCTGTCACTTACAGTGGCCACTCTTCTCCCTGCTCTCCCTCTGTGCTGGTCCCATCTCCATTACTCCCTTCCTGTTAAGTTCAACACTGAAACCATGCTTACTGTTCTGAATGGATCAACACGGCAAGGCTTATACATGCATGTGTACATGCATATATTTATTTAGAGGGAAACGATAAAAATGTCTAAGCCTCCAAAAGCCTGACAGTAAAACTATGGCAACAACCTCCCGGGATCCTACTCCTCCCCCCGAGTAGTAAACAACTATAAACGCAAACTGCCAAAGAGCGAGCCGGGAACCATTCCGACAGCCATACAGTATTAGAGACGTGCCGATGGATATTTCCTTAATTAAACCAAGGAGACCTGGGGATCTAGGCTCTGTCTGATACAAGCCTATTATTAAAATCAATAACAAAAGGAGAAAAGATCACGTAAGTCAGATCAAAATCTGATGCCGTCAGTAAGAAGTGGTACGTATTTCTAAGACTCAAAACGCCAAGGAGAGGCCGGCTACCTCTGCTCGTATCTGCCGCATGGAGTCTCGGTCCCTCAGAGTGGCCGTGTGCGGGGTCTTGTTCACTGTATCGAAGTCGATGGTGATGCCGAAGGCCACGCCAATCTCGTCGGTCCTGGCATAGCGTCTCCCGATGGACCCGGAGGAATCATCTACTTTGTGAGACACGCCGCTCCTGGTCAGGGCTTCCGCTGTCCAAAGAAGTGGAGTGAGTGAAAAGTAAAATAGAGGAAGTCCCAGTGTCATCCAGGCACTGCGTTACAAGCTCAGGGCTTACGACAGGGGCCCAAACAAGAGGGCAAATGGGAGTTACGAGAGAAAGAAAAGTCCCCAGAGTTTAGTAACTCTCCTGCTCAAGCCCAGAGCGTCACTCACACCTGCATCTGCCACAGCTGTGGGGAACAAGTGTCAGACAGGGCCACGGCCAGAGGAGTTTCCTGACCCCAAGCAGCTCATGGCCTGGTCTCATTTCCCAGCTCTGAGAGGGTGGGCTGCACTGGGTGACCACTGGGACCCTTGCAGTGCTGGGGACTCAGGGTTGTGGATCTACTAGGGCTGTCACACTCCACTCAGATTCCCCTGGTGCAGTGAGCACCACGGTCAACAGAATGCAGTAATCCTTAAATGTGACTCTTGCCCTACTCAGACTCATTCAAATGCTAGGGTGACATATCGGAGCCGGCAGATTCTCTCCCTTAGAATCAAGAGCAGAGGCTCAAATCCCCGAGTGTTATTCTAACTAATACATGGTATCAATTCCACCTTCTGGAAAGAAATGATACATTTCCTAAACTTCAGCCCACTTGAGGGCATTGGCATGGAGATCACCCAATTGAATTTGCTTACATAATTCCTTGACAAATGGCACGAACTCCTGGTTCTGGCTCAGCGGTAGGACGGAACATTTAAACGGAGCGACTACAGCAGGGAAACTGAAGAACTAGATGTTTTGAAAAGAAAAAATCCAAATAGATTAATATCTAAACACTGTTGCCCCCAAACAAAAAAGATGAATATTCAATGTGTGTCCAAACATAACTTCACTATCAAAATGCCAGAAATCAGGCCCAGCATGGGGGTGCAGTCGCTAGTGAACTAAACTACAATGCTGGAAGCAACATGGCTGACCGTGGGTTCAGATCCCTGGATCGGCCTGAAAACATGCCAGGCACACACACGTGATCCAGCACACGCACCCCAGGATCCTAGAGAACTGGAGGGCCGAGGAAAGGGGATCACTCCTGCATGACTCACGAGGCCTTCTGTCCCTCTTTTGCACGTACGCATTCTCCCTTGTGAGTAAGTGTAAACAATAAATAAAGCCAGAAAGCACAGTATGGAAAGTGGCACGACAAGAGAGGCAACAGGAGAAACACACACAACTAGTCTTGGCTCGCAATTCCACCAGCTCAGTGGCCTCTCTGAACCTTAGTTTTTGCATCTAAACTCGCTTAAGAAGTCTGATATGAAAAAGTTACGTGATGATGCGATGTGAGAGCATTCTGAAAAATACAATATGAACAGATAAAAATAAATACGGGGACCAGCAGGTGGCACAGTGGTTAAGGTGCTGGATACTCCCACATGGCTAACTATGGTTCAAGTCCTGGACCTGGTAGCTTGCTTTCTCACTTTCTCTCTCTCTCTCTCTCTGTGTCTCTCTCTGGTCAAATTAAAATAAATGAATAGATAAAATTAAACAATAAATAAATACAACATAAAGAAATAGAAATAAGATGATAACTTTTTGGGACCCATATAAAAGCCTCACTTCTTTCTTGAAGAACCTCTCTTGAAATCAAGTAACAAATGGTGTGTCAAAAACTAAAATCCTATTCTGTCCTTTCAGAGATCTGTGAGACTTAGGGATTAAGTAAGGCAGAAAAGTTGAATTAGCTTACAAGTATATGTGCCCAAAGAATAGTATAAAGCAAAAAACAACGAAAAAGAAGCAGCTCTACGTATCTCTACTGAAAGGTACAGCATTCCTAAACTGTTCCCGACATAAGTTTCTGAGTAACTCGGAAATCACAGAAAGCAGATTCTCTGTGGCAGGCAAAAGCCAGTCTACCATTCTAAATAATACTTGCATGCAAGTTTCCCGGGGAGGCAAGAAGAGCTCAGAATAAACTGGTCTCCTAAAAATAACAACACAGGTTCATTTAGCCCCTCACCCACAACTGAGCTAATCTCCAATGCCGAGAAACGATGACTCGCCCGTGATCAGTAACCCTGTGCATGCCTCCATCACAGACCATCCCAAATTCTGCCCTCCTCGCTCTTGTGAAAATTCTATCTTATTAGAGAGGGGGGACCTACCTTTATAGCAAAATAATTTTTTAATGTCACCTGCCATGTTTTATAACAAATTTATAGGCAAGTGGATTGAGGAACTAGGTGCTAATAATTTAGAAGCATTTTTGGCTTCCTGCAGCCTAATCAAATTTCTTTCATGATAGGAAACCATGCAATTCACAAAACCCAGTGACTAATTTATACTTGTTAGCCCCTTTGAAATGTCTACTAAAGCTCCAGTTATACCAATATTGTGAGGCTCAAAGGAATTACTAACAGATTTTTTAAAACACCTTGTTATTAGAAACATAAGCAGGAAAAGCTGGAGGCAAACCTGACATCTGAAAAGAATACATTCGGTTATGGACAGCATCTTCTTCAAGAAGGACGGAGCCTGTGTCTACACACCTGGTGCCTAGTCCAGGCAAAGAGCTGCTCCTTCAATGTCAGGAAATGAAGATGCAACTTGAGGACAGAGATTAGAATAGTAACATCACATCATGGGACCAGCAGCTGGCGTAATGGCTATGTCGCCGGACTCCCATACGGTCAACTGCAGTTTAAGTCCCTGACCCGGTGGCTTAAACTCACGCCAGGCGCGTGTGCGTGCATGCCCAAGATCCCGAGAGGAGAATGGAGGAGAAGGGATTGTGGCGTGGCCATCCGCCCTGGGGGGTGATTTCTCGCTTTCTGTCTCTCTGTCTCTCTCTCTTTCTGGCGAGTGCACATGCCCTATAGCAAAAACCTTTCAAAAACACACACACACACACACACACACACACACACACACACAAACCAAAACACTCAAAATAGTAAAATCACAAGGCAAATTCAAAAAAACTTATGGAAAACCTGAGTTAAAGTACAAGTGTATTTCGTTATTTAAAAAAATCTGAAATCCACGAACTTTTTAAAAATACACATTTTTCTGTGAACGCTTTTGAAGCCTCCCTCATACTAACTATATATTACTAGAGTGTCACATCTACTAAACATTCAGGCTAGACTAGCCAGCTCCTTCTTCAAGCTTAAATGTTCTGGACAGAACCACAGAGACGAATCACTAACATCATGTACACACTCAAGCTTCTGAACGGCAAGCGAATGAGACGGTTTCTTTCCATTCATTTGACATACACAACCTTTTATTTTCTTTGCCAGAGGGCTGTGCACTAGGCAGAGAAGGGAGGAGAGAAGGCCCAGCCATGGGGCTGGTCTCCCCACAACCCCTTCTCTTCCACTTCTCCATCCTGTTGGGATTCCGAGCATGGAGGCTCATGCTCCCGCTGTTGTTTTCAAGCTCCAAGGGCTGGGATTCATTCCACAGTCAGCCACGTGGGACACAGCTTCCTCAACCACCAGGCCACAGGGCTGGCCCTACGACCCTTATTTTCTAAGTGTCCTTTTGATTGGTTTTCCTGGAAATCTGTTTCTAGAAATTAAAGAAGTATAATTTCTACAGGCAGAGGTGAGGTGGGAAAGGGTAAGGCAGAATGAGAAGGTAAAGGGAAGGCACAGAGCAGTGATTCAGAAGTACCAGAGTAAAAGGAAAAAACAACAAAAAAACAACTTGGGGGATTTGATGAAGACTTCTTTTAAACTCCTACTTTCAGTAATGTCTGAACGCTAAGAAAGGCTACTCCCCACATTCTACTGTCCAATTTATGATATGTTAAGCCCCCATACTGGAATCACCTGGAGGTCTAATGAAAACTAACTAAATAAAACAAAACCATAGATCCCTGGGTCTTAGATCTTGAATTAGTATCTCTGAAACAGAACCTAGGAATTTACTTCTTTACCCTAAAAAATACTCTAATTTTATGCAATTTAAAAAGGTTCCACTTAAAACTTTGCCGTGCAAAGGTATACAGCTACAGCTGATGGTTTAGCCAAATTCCATACGCCGTCTCATCTAGTTCAACAGTACAACCAGAAAGGATCGCACCTCTCACTGACACCATGTAGCTAAGTTCCCCAAAGTAATAGGTTCTGTCTCACAATAGGGAATATTAAGGGACTATTGGGTGATTGGAAAAGCCATGACGACTTTTCCAAAGAGCCAATAAAACAACGGCTTCCAGGATAACCTTCACATCCTAAAGCTCAAGTAAGGTAACAGGTGAGAGTGCTTTGCGTGTAAGGAGTTAAGCAAGGATGAGTGCTGACATCTTTAGTACATTACAATCCACAACTAACTCATCCTTCCAGAGCCCTATGAATGGACTTTGGTAAATTTTACTTTTTGGCACTAAGAAAATAGCCCACTGTAAAAAACAACTTACTGTTCTCTGTTCATCTCCCTCTCGTACGTGGAATGTATGTTCAAATACTGTATACATGATCCTGCCCAGGCCAAAGGAGGGTTCAATTACGTTCGGAACAACTTCTTCCACTACAAAGAGAGAGAAATTCAGTAACATTCTCTCAAACACCACATAATGCTTTTCAAATCCTCTCTAAACAATTCTTAGCACTAAAAATATCTCTATTCAACATGGATTTTGATCTCTGTAAATCAGGACAAAAAAATCAGAACATTCCTAAAAGCTATTTTGCTGCTAGGTAACATGCCTTTGGAAAAATAGTTGGAGTGAAAAAAATGTTCACTGAATTGTTTGTTTATGTAGCATGAAAATGAAACTTAAGTTACATTCCTTCCCTAGTTGGTAAACTATAAACAGCAACTCCGTCTCCACCATGTTTTGCCTATCCAGAAAGCATTAAAAACTCGTGTTTTGTTGTCTTTTAATCTGCTATAGGGCACACGCACTCATCAGAGAGACAGAAAGGGAATGCGAGAGAGTGTCCCCCAGGGAGGATAGTCACGCCATGGTCCGTTCTCCTCCATTTTCCTCTTGGGATTTTGGGTATGCATGCACATGCACCCAGTGTGTTTTTCAAGCTGCAAACCCAGGACTTGAACCATACAACCGGCCCTGTGAGTCACCTTACCCACCATGCCACTTTCTGGACCTATACTCCACAGCTTGTATCAAGACTTGGTGAAAATTAAAAACTTGCCATCAGAGCTAGCAAAATCAACAGAAACAACTCCTACACGTGTTACAAGGATTGTTTTACTTCTCAGCTTGCATCTTGATGAGAATTCCTTCAAAGCCAAGTGAGTGGCCTTGTGTCTCCTCAGTGCTGGGGTCAGGAGGTCCACTCAGGGATCAGCCCTCCACCCAACATCTTAACAGGGACAGCCCAGCTCTCCCCAGGGTGTGACTACACCTGTACTGTACACAGGAAGTCTATGTACAACTTTTACTTATTATGTGGAGACGAAGCACTGCCGAACGCCATCCAGGTCTAAGGTAACTGACCATGACCTTGGAGAGTTTATTCTATGGGCAATGAAATGACGAGAACCCAAATTTAATCTATGGAGCCAGCAGGCAGCAAGGTAGTTAAGATGGCTGGATCCCACTGGCCCTGCAGGGTTTGAGTCCTGATCCAGTGGCTTGAAAAACATGCCAGGTTCATGTGCATGTGTGCCCAAAATCCTGAGACGAGACTGAGGGAAAAGGACTGTGGCATGGCCATCCTCCCTAGCGGGTGATTTTTCACTTCTCCTTTTATCTCCAGTGAGTGCATACATCCTGTAGGAAAACTATAAATGAATGAATGAATGAGTTAATTAATTAATTAAAACCCTGATATATGTGAGGCAAAGGGCTGAGTTTTTTATTTTTTTGGTCTGTAATAAAGTGTAAGAATGTTATTCTAGAAAAACAATCAAGACATTCTTCTGCCCATACTTCCTTGGCATTTAAGTAATGGTGAAGAATATTCCTGAGTCAGTTGCCAGGATGTTAGCCACAAGGCTCCAAAGCTTCAAAGCCTGAAGCCTCCTTACCATCCTCACTGCCGCTGAAGCCTGGCCTGGAAAGGCCACAGCTGGATGGAAAGGCCACAGCTGGATGGAAAGGCCACAGCTGGACGGAAAGGCCACAGCTGGACAGAAAGGCCACAGCTGGACGGAAAGGCCACAGCTGGATGGAAAGGCCACAGCTGGACGGAAAGGCCACAGCTGGATGGAAAGGTAGTCTACCCTCAGTGCAACAGCATCTCCAGCACCCACAGCTCTGTCTCCAGAAGACTTCACTCAAATCACAGAACCTATTCTACAAAAACCACCACCACCTTGGCTTTTAAAAAATCATGAAAGACCTTTCACCTAAATAACTTTTTAACAAGTTATTTTACCCCCCCCCCAAAATATATGAGGATAAGTTCCCCCTTTTATTTCTTGAAAGGGATGGCATAGTGGTTAAGGCTCTGGACTCCTACATGGCCAACCAATGCTCTGAGTCCCAGACCCTGCAGCTTGAAACTCATGCCAGGAATGTGTGCATGCATGCCCAGACTCCCAGGAGGAAGATGGAGGAGAAGGGACGGCAGCATGGTCATTCTCCTAGGGCATGAGTTCTTGCTTTCTCTCCAGCAAGCACATATACCCTATAGCAAAAATTGCTCTTAAAAATAAAAAAAAAAAAAAAATTATTTAAAATTAAAAAAAAAAAAGTTTTAATCAAAGAGATATTTTTCACAAACACCTCAGGCCACAGAAAACATAAAGGAGGTATTATATATTATTTTCCAGAGCTAGTATAATTATGCTTAGAGAAGAAACACCCAGTGAATGCTTTAAATATATTCACCACGTGGCCAGCAAGTGGAGTGATGGTTAAGACACTGGACTCCCTCATGGCTGACCACAGTCTAAATCCCAGACCTGATGGCTTGCACATGTGCACACACTCTCTCTCTCTCCAGGAAGTGCATGCACCCTATAGCAAAAATTAATCAATTCAATAAAATAAATAATTCTTAAAAAAAAATTCACCGTGTTTATGTTTGTGGCATTAATATTTTTTCTCAAATTTTCTGTAAAATGATATTATAAAATGTTTTAAAAAATCTTTAAGGAGCAGTAATTTTGTTAGTTGTTTCTTTATTATTTCTTACAAATTTACCATGTAGTGTTTTCTGGAATCTCTTTACGCTGACCATGTCTTTCGTTAACTGAAACGTTTTTCCTTCAGTTTCAATAGTGAATTCCCTACAAAAGAAAGCAAAACATATATTAGTGAAGACATGAATTCTTGTGCTTTAATTTAAAGGAACTGTATGGGCTGCAATTTTTTCTTTTCTTTTTTTTTTTTTAGGATGACACCGTTTGGTCTACTCTCCAGATTCAACTGCTAAAGTCAAATTTAAATTCTTTTATCATAAGGAGCACTAAACCGAGTGTCATTCTAACAATGGCACCGGAAAGCACACAAGGAGCCACAAGCGTATAAAATTACACAAGCGTTTTAATGACAAATTCCTTTGGTTTTCAGAGCAAAATAAAACCAAAGGCAATTTTTTTAAAAAATTCAGTTTTAGAATAATGACAAGGAGCCAGAAGTGGTGCAATGGTAACACAACCAGACCCAGATGGGAAGGTCCCCAGCTCACCTCCTGTGGCCTCCTGCACACCAGGCATGTGTGTGTGTGCCTGGGAGCTGGGCTAGCTGTGGTTGGAAGTAGACTGCAGTGTGAAGACCCTATCAAAGGGGGGTGTGTGTGTGTGTGTCTTCTCTCATGGAAAAAAATAAACAAAGAACACCCCATCTGTCAGAAATAGTCCTGCTGGTAAGGACCGCTATTACTGTTCAAGAGATGCAAAAATGAACCAGCTTTCGTTTTATAGAAAGAATTTTAAACCCCTACCCTATTTCAAAAATAAACTTGGACACTTACATTTATGAAGGTCAGCTTAAAAGTCCAATACTTCTGTTTGACGTACCAATACAAAATACTACCCCTCGAAAATCAATGGCTGCCATATGTTTATGCCCTGAGCTTCGCCCAGTTGCGGGTTACAAGAACTCACTTTTATGAAGCACTTCATGTAATATCTATAGTCAGCTTCTAAGTTGTTCCCTACTCTAGGAGGATCAACTGGGATCTCTCTTCCTCGCACATAGCTAAATGCTGGGAAAGAGAGCCCTCGTGTGGCACTCTTCAACTATACTGTTGGCACACGTTAACAACTACATTTTGCTTATTTCTTTTTTTCTTTTTTTTTTTCAGAAATTTTTGGTAGAGAGCACTTGACTTCGCCAGGGAGACAAAGTGAGAAATCACTCCTCGGCGGGATGGCCACACCGCAATTCCTTCTCCATTTGTCCAGGACTCGAACCATGTTCAGCCATGTGGGAGTCCAGCAATGTAACCATTGTGCCATCTGCTAGTCCCCATTTTGCCTAATTCTATCAGTGATAATTTCATGCCTCACCTGAATGATTTTCATCCATTTCTTCCACTTTTACTATCGTATCTGAAGTTTGTACGTGCACACAACTGGCAGTTCCACACACAGTGTCATGTATATGTTCTCCATGCGCACACTCTAGATTGTGTAGGGTGTATACTACACAATCTACAAAAGAACTGCCATCAGGGAACCAGCAGTTAGCGTAATGGCTATGTTGCTGGACTCCCACATAGTCGACCACGGTTTGTGTCCCGGACCCGGTGGCTTAAAACTCACGCCGGGCGCGTGTGTGTGCGTGCCCAAGATCCCGAGAGGAGAATGGAGGAGAAGGGATTGCGGCGTGACCATCCCCTCTGGGGGGTGATTTCTCGCTTTCTGTCTCTCTGTCTCTGTCTGGCGAGCGCACGCGCCCTATAGCGAAAACCTCTAAAAAAAAAGAACTGCCATTAGCAAGGAAACAGCCATTATTTGAAAACTAATAAAGCAAACCATCTTCCGCGTGGATAACAATATCTAATGATGTGACAATCCCCATCTTCATCAGATTTTGAAGCTGTTTTAACATAGATGTTAACTCTGAAGGGCCAGAAATGTTTTAAAATTTGCCTACTGAAATGGAGAATTATGTTTAACCTGTGAGTGCTTATCTTATAAGAGTTTTTTGGACAGATGGATATACACATGAAACCACCAGAGCCCAGAGTTCCACTGGGTCCCTTTTCCGTCTATCCTCCCCATTCCTCGTCAACCACTGATATGCATACCATCACTATAAACTAGATCTGTCTTTCCTTGACTTTTTTTTTTCTTTTTTTTTTTTTGGAGAGGTTTTTGCTATAGGGCGCGTGCGCTCGCCAGACAGACAGATAGAGACAGAGAGACAGAAAGCACGAAATCACCCCCCAGGGGGAATGGTCACGCCGCAATCCCTTCTCCTCCGTTCTCCTCTCGGGATCTTGGGCACTCACGCACACGCGCCTGGCTTGAGTTTAAGCCACCAGGTCCGGGTCTTGAACCACGATCGACTACGTGGGAGTCCAGCAACATAGCCATTACACCAATAAGAGATCCCGCCTTTCTCGACTTCTATGTATACTAGCATATCATCTCTGTGTAAGGCTTCTTTGACTTAGCAAAATGTCTATGGCAGGGGCCAGCAAACTTTTTTGGAAAGGGCCCAGTAGGAAATATTTCAGGATTTCAGGAAATATTTCAGGACCATGTGAGGAGGTCTCATATTCTGTGTTCTGTTGTTGATGTTTTATTCTTTGCTTTTTGGACCCTCTGAAAATACAAGCAACAGTCTTAGCTGGATGGCTGTACAAAAACCCAAGAGTCAGCATAACAAATGTTTAATAGATGTCCAGTAATTCGATGGAATATCCTATAAATGCAACCAGGTTAGGTTGATTAATAGCATTTATGTCAGGACCAGCAGTTAGCATAATGGCTATGTTGCTGGACTCCTATGTAGTCAACTGCGGTTCGAGTCCCAGACCCGGTGGCTTAAACTCACACCGGTTACATGTGTATGTGTGCCCCAAGATCCCAAGAGGAGAATGGAGGAGAAAGGATTGCAGAGTGGCCATCCCCCCTGGGGGGTGATTTCTCACTTTCTATCTCTCTGTCTTTCTGGTGAAGGCACGCGCCTTATAGCAAAAAATCTCTCTCAAAAAAAAAAAAAAAAAGTATTTATGTCTCCTAATTCCTACTGATTTTTCTATACCTGTACTATCAATTACCAAGAGGACATACAAAAATCTCCAGCTATGATTGTATTTCGATTTATTTTTTCCTTTGATTCTGTCAAGTTGCTTTGCTTATTCTGAGGTTCTGTTTTTAGCTGCATACACTTTAAAGGAGCAATATTCCTTCTTAAGATATTGACCCCTTTATCATTATGAAACGCCCCTCTTTGTCTCTGGTAGTTTTCCTTCTGAAGTTTACTTTTTCTGATATTAACATAGTCACTCCAATTTTTGGTTGAAATTTGTATAACAATTACAGTGAATTTTCTGTAAACTGCATGTAATTTACTCTTGAGTTTGTTTTTTTTTTTAAGAGAGATTTTTGCTATAGAGTACATGTGCTGATCAGAGCCACAGAGAGAGAAAGTGAGAAATCATCCCCTGGGAAGATGGCTATGCCAAAATCTCTTCTCCATTCTCTCAGGATTTGGGGCATGCATGCACATGTGTCTGGCATGTGTTTCAAACTGTGGTTGGCCACATGGAGTCCAACACCATAACCACTATGTCACCTGCTGGCCCTGAGCCTTAACTTTTTCTTTTTCTTTTTTTTTTAAAGAAGTTTTTGCTATAGGGCACATGCACTCACCAGAAAAGACAGACATTGACAGGGAGACAGAAAGCAAGAAATCACCCCCAGGGGGATGGCTATGCCGCAATCGCTTCTCCTTCATTCTCCTCTCAGGATCTTGGGCATATGCACACGTGCCCGGCATGAGTTTAGGCCACCGGGTCCGGGACTCGAACCACAGCTGACTACATGGGAGTCTGGTGACATAGCCATTACACCATCTGCTGGTCCCGCCTTGACATTTTTAACTAGCCTGACCATCAATGTCATTAATTCTCCAGTGTTTAGATTATTCTATTTAATGTAATTATCAGTATTACTGAGTTTAAACCTACACTTCACTAATTATTTTCTCTGTCCCACCTGTACTTTGTTCCTTTTCCTCTTTTGTCTTCTGGTGTAAATGTTTTATTATTCTACTTTATCTCAACATTGGCTTATTAGTTGTTTTCGCTTCAGGTTTTGTGTGTTAGTTCCAAGTGACTACTTGAGTTTATGAAATGTTTTTATTTTTCTTTTTAATTTGCTATAGGATGCGTGCACTCACCAGAGAGACAGACAGAGAAAGCATCCCTCATGGGAAATGGTCATGCCACAATCCCTTCTCCATTCTCTTCTCAGGATTTTGGGTACACATGCAGCATGTGCCCAGCATGTTTTTCAAGCTACCAGGTGTGGGCCTCAAACCACAGTCGGCCACGTGGGACCCAGAAGTCTTAACTCGCATACCACCTGGTGGGCTCACAAAAGTCATTTTTTAACTACTGTCTATCTTTAAATAATACCATACCACTTAACAGATAATGCACGTCTTCCTATAGTGTATTCTCCCATCCCTTGTACTACACTGGCATACATATTACGCCCACATGTTATCAATTGTTTTGGCTTTAAGGAGTCCGTTATCTTTTATATAAGTTAAGAGATGAAAAAGGAACTCTCATTTACATTCTCCTGCACAGTCAGCATTTCTAGGGCTCTGAAGTTCTTTGGGTAGACATCAATTCCCATACTTCCGCCTGAAAAGTTCTCGGAACAATTCCTGTAGAGGAGGTCTGCTGGTAACACATTCTCCACACTTTGTTTTGTCCGAAAGTATTTCCTCCATTTGTGAGAGACTCTTTGGCTGGTTATAGGATTTTTGCCTTTCAGAACTTTTAAAAATTTCATTCCTTTGCATGATGGCTTGCATAGTTTTTGACAGCTCTAATCTTTATCTTTGGTTTTACGTAATAAACCACGCTACTCCACCCCCAGCTGCTCTAAAGAGTTTTCTCTTCGTCCAAGTTTTCAGCAACTGGATTCTCATGTGCCTTCATGTGGTTTTCTTTGTATTTTTCCTGCTTGAGGTTAAGCTTCTTCAATCTGTAGGTATACAGTTTTCATAAACTTGGGAAATTTTTCAGTTAGTACCTTGTCAGGTATTTTTTCTCTCCACTTCTCGTGTTTCTCTGAGACTCTCAATCACACATATTAGACTGCCTGATAATGGCCTGCAGGATATGTTTTTCTGGAGAGAGGTTTTTTCTATAGGGAGCATGCGCTAGCTAGAAAGAGAGAGAGAGAGACAAAAAGCGAGCAATCCCTTCTCCTCCATTCTCCTCTTGGTATCTTGGGCAGGCATGCATACGTGCCTGGCCTGAGTTTAAGCCACCAGGTCCAGGACTCAAACTGCAGTCGACTACATGGGAGTCCAAAGACATAGCTATTACACCAACTGCTGGTCCCAATATGCTTGAAATTATTACAGAGAGTACTCCAAACCCCTAAGAAGGAGCAGCGGACTTGAGAGATAGGAAATGGATTTTCTAATCCTTCCTTGGCCATTACCTTGGATAAACCTCCTCTAAGAAAGTTACTAGTAAAATAAAAGATCTTTCTAGTTCACTTCAACCTATTTCTAGACCATAATACTAAAATCCCATGAAAGAGTCCTTTAAACATAGCCAAAAAACAGAACTTACCTGCAAAAAATTTCTAAAGAAAGTAATCTCCTCTAACTTTCAGAACACGGCAGAGAGCCGATCCGCAGCCAAGTAAAGCCAAGTGTCTTAGCGCTCACCCTTTCTCGCTCAGCAGCGTCTCCATCTCCGTCACGTAACACTCATCACAGACGGCCAGGTACTCCAGCACCAGCTTCGCATCCTTCTTATACGCCTTACCAATCGTCCCCTTGTTGGGTTCGAACTGAACAACACTCACTGTTTTGTACGAAATAGTCAAGGAATCAAAAAATACAGCACTGTCTCAGCATTTCAGAAAGGACCTGGACACCAGTCACCCACCGGCATAGGACCACGCGTCCTCTGTGGACACCAGTCACCCACCGGCATAGGACCACCCGTCCTCTGTGGACACCAGTCACCCACTGGCATAGGACCACGTGTCCTCTGTGGACACCAGTCACCCACCGGCATAGGACCACCCGTCCTCTGTGGACACCAGTCACCCACCGGCATAGGACCACCCGTCCTCTGTGTACACCAGTCACCCACCGGCATAAGACCACCGTCCTCTGTTAGTACCCCAGGTCGTGTTTACGGTGATCCCAAGTGCAGGAGGAAATAATCACACACGCGATAATCCAGAGAAACCGCATGCAAATGTGAACACCAACGACAGAGACCTTCCATTACGGTCAGATAAAAAGGGTATTATTGACACCTAACCAGTAAAATAGCCCATCCTGCAGAATAAAAATAATATTGATATGTTGTTCTGATAAGAACGTATCAATATTAATTTCTAAAATGCCTTTCATGACAAGATCAATTTCTTGACCCTGGTCTACCTTTAAGAAGTCAGCTCACAGGAACAGCAGTTGGTGTGATGGCTATGTTGCTGGACTCCCATGTAGTCGAATGCAGTTCGAGTCCCAGACCCAGTGGCTTAACTCATGCCAGGCACGTGTGCGTGTGTGCCCAAGATCCCAAGAGGAGAATGGAGGAGAAGGGATTGCGGCATGGCCATCCTCCTGGGGGGGATGAGTTCCTGCTTTCTGTCTCTCTGTCTTTCTGGCAAGCACATGCACCCTAGGGCAAAAACCTCTCCAAAAAATTTAAAAAGAAGTCAGTTACCTGGGCTGTGCCCATGCCCTAGTGATTAAGGAAGTGGATCCTACATGGCCAACCACTATCTGAATCTTCGCCTGGTGTCTTGAAAAACATGCCAGGCATAAGGATGTGTATGCCCCCTAAATCCCAGCAGGATGGAAAGATGGAGAAGGGTTTGGGGTGCAACTACACCCCACTGGGGGGGTGCTCCTTCCCTCTCTCTCTTGCTGTCTTTCTCTGACAAGCACATATGCCCTCTGGCAAAAGGGATAGAAGGGGAGGGAGATAAAGAAATCAGCTCAGCTCAAATCGTATTACCTGATAAAGAAATAAACGTTCTATCTTGCTGATTTACAGATCAAGTGACATTACTTCATATACCACAGAATGGCACTTATCTTTGAAAAGAGAAAACATTCACTAGGCACCTTTTATTTAAAGAGCACGAGGAGATGCAGGGGTAGGAAAATGCATTTTACTAAAATCTTTTTGAGAGGTTTTTGCTATAGGGCGCGTGTGCTTGCCAGAAAGACAGAGAGACAGAAAGCGAGAAATCTCCCCTCAGGGGGGACGGCCACGCCGCAATCCCTTCTCCTCCATTCTCCTCTCAGGATCTTGGGCACGCACACACATGCGCCTGGCATGAGTTTAAGCCACCGGATCCGGGACTCGAACTGCGGTCGACTACGTGGGAGTTCAGCGACATAGCCATTACGCTAACTGCTGGTCCCAGAAAATGCATTTTAAAATAAGCTAAGAAAAACTGGTCAACACCTGAAAGGCATTTTGACCATTTTTCTGTGCTTCTCTTAAGGGTCAAACCGTGAGAAGGCGCAAGTCGGAACACAGGGACGAGGAGGAGGAAAGGAGCAGTGGAACAGGCAGGGTAACAGTGTGGACGTGCAGTGGTGATACCTGAGACAGCGCAATCTGCAGTCAGACCTCAACTTTTGGGGTGACCAGAAAGGATATGGGCTCTTTCAGAGGTTTCTCGGCTACCAGTGGGACTTTGGTGGCTCGTGCGTGACAGGAGAGGTCGTAGCAGGAACGATCGGCACATCCCACGATCTCAATCCAGCCCTGAAGGAGACAGGCAGTCAGAGCATTTACTGCTTACCCCGGGCTTGCTCACAAATGCGTACAGACTGTCACTAACCCTCACACATATGCATAGATCAATGACACAATCTCCACCCGAATGTTATAGATCTGAAATGGGAAGAGTTTCACAGGCCAGACAGCTAACAAACCTGCAAAATAAAATTCACACCGTACACAAAGTAGTCTTCTCTTCTGGACAGATTTATCTTGCCAAATTGTAGCTATGGGGTCAATGGATATATTCTAGGACTCGATTATGGAAACTAAATAGGAAGCAGATAAAAAACTGTTAGGTTGAAAATCGCTATGTCAGGAACTACAACTCTCTTTGGATGAAGTGCCTAGTTCTCACAAGTCAGCCTCAGATGGCTGACAACACACACTCGGCTGACTGTGACGATGGCACTTGCGCTCAATTCACTTTCTTTATCAAGCAAAAGAAAGCTCAGTGCAGAGTAAATAAAGTTTAGGTCACAGATAAAACTAAGTAAGTGCATTTAACCACATTGAGGCTAAGTTCCACTCTTGTTAGTATGTAAGACACTTTTAAAAAATAGTATTTTAAGGGGGCCGGCAGATGGTGTGGTGGTTAAAGGCACTGGATTCCCACATGGCTGACCATGGTTCAAGACCCAGACGTGGCAGCTTGCTCTCTCACTTCCCCTTTCTCCCTCTCTCTCTCTCTGTGCTAGTCTGGTCAAATTAAAAAAATAACAATAACAATAACAAATGAAATGAAATAAATAATAGTTTTTTTAAACAAACAGTATTTTAGGAACCATCAGATGGCATATTAGTTATGTCACTGGACTCCTATATAGACCACAGTTCAAATCCTAGACCCAGCACCCTGGAACTCATGCTGGGCCCATGTGCATGTATGTGCATGCGTGACCAAAATCCTGAAAGGAAAATGGAGGAAGAGGGACTGCAGTGTGGCCATCCCCCCGGAGGAGGTGACTTCTCACTTTCTATCTCTGTCTCTCCAGTGAGCACATGTGTGCTATAGCAAAAATCTCTCGAAAAAACATTTTTTTTCAATTATTTTCAAAGAACTTGCCATGGCTGAACACCTGTGTGCCCCCAAAATAGCTAAGTGGAAATCCTAACCTCAATGTGACGGCATTGGGAGGAGGGGATCTTTGGGTGACTAGGTCATGAGAGTGGAGCCCTACTCAACAGGATCAGTGTTCTCACAGATGAGGACCCAGAGAGCACGCTCTTGCCACCTTTCCACCATGAGGGTACAGCATGGTGGCAGCCTGCAACCAACAGGCCTTCACTAGAACCGGACCTGGCGCACCTGATCTCCAACCTGCAATCTCTAGAACTGTAAGAAATAAAGGCTCACACTGGCTCAACGTGCTATTTTTCAACTTATTTACTGGGGCAACAAATGCATTTTCAATTGACAATACTTTCAACTTAAGATGGGTTTATCAGGACAGAGCCCCACTTTAAGTTGAGCATCTGTAGCTAGTCCTTCTCATGAATATTTATTTATTTCTCTTGATCTAAAGAGTTTGGGAAAACTCAATCATTAATACCACTTTCCAAGTGCCTGTTACCACATAGGGTGTTCTGAAAAAAGAAGGCAAATATAAAAACCATAGATAAAGGTCAGAAAACTGAACACACAACAACAAAATGCAACTAAAGAAAAAATGGGGGCCAGCAGGTGGCCTGGAGGTTAAGGCAGCTGAATCTCACACAGTTGAACATGCAGTTCGAGTCCCGGACCTGCTTGGAAATCATGCTGGGCACATGTGTGTATATACCCAAAATCCTGAGAGGAGAATAAAGAAGGGACTGTGGCATGGCCATCACCCTGACAGGTGAATTCTCACTTTCCTTTCTTCTGTCTCTCTCTCTCTCTCTCTCTCTCTCTCTGTGTCAAGCACACATACCCTATAGCAAAAAAAAAAAAAGCCTGAAAATATGTAACTTGATAATCTGACATACCCTAAACATATTAACTAGTTTGTATTCTTAAACATATAACTTGACGGTTATCATTTACTAAAGATGTTCATGTATTTATGTACCAACATGTAAAAAATACAAAATATGCCTGAGAATTACCTTAATCATCAGGCCGTGGAGCTGACTCAAGATCTCTGAATTGTATTAAATACACAGAATTTAAGAAAAGATCATTTCTAAACAAGAGGCCAGAATCCGCTGGTCTATCCCCCAAATCCAACAAAACCTCTCTAAACTAAGGACACTATGACTTCCTTACTTAACCCAACCATCATCTGCAGTGTTTGCTAAGATCCTAGTCAGAAAGGGAGCCATCCCATACGTCACTCAGGGACATTACCCACACTATTCTACCCCAGGGATGGACGTGTCAGCATTGCCCCGTCATCAGCTTCTCTCTCTGTCTCGCTCTTAAACAAACTACAACAAAGTCCTGGAACACAGAATAGTCCCCTGCTGATAAGAGAAGAGGCAACTGCTTCTTCCATTCTGCTCAGGAAAACATCTTTCTGCTTCTCTTTGTTCCACTCTGATACAAAGTGCACAAAAGGCAATTCTGACACCCGAGCTCTGTGTACACAATGTGAAAACCACAGGGTAAGTGCTCTGTGTACCCAACGTGAAAACCACAGGGTAAAAGCAGCCCAGCTCTACTCACATAGGACGTTTTGGACTCGGCATCCCAACAGTCACAGGCATAATGGGCCATCTCATTCTCCATGTGCTGTCGGAAGCGGAGCTTGTCTGGAGATACTCCAACCTTCACGAGGTAGAGGTAGATGCGGCCAATGAAATAGCCTAACACTGAGTTGTTAATCACGCCCTACATGAATAAATAAGAAAACTAAGCAAGCAAACACAGAGGGAGGGGAAAAAACAAATAATACTTTCAAAGGCCAAGGTATCAGTTTTCCATTGTGTTATTCATAACCTACTAAAGAATACTTAAAACAAAAAGAGGCTTTTAAAAGTTCATAGAAAAATGGGGACCAGCAGCTGGCATAATGGCTATGTCAACTGGACTCCCATGTAGCCGACCGTGGTTCAAGTCCTGGATCCAGTGGCTTAAACTCATGCCAGGCGCGTGTGCATGCATACTAAGATTCCGAGAGGAGAAGGGACTGTGGTGTGGCAATGCCCCCTGGGAGGGGGGGTGATTTCTTGCTTTCTGTCTTTCTCTGTCTTTCTGGCGATTGCACATGCTCTATAGCAAAAAGCTCTCCAAAAGAAAGTTCGTGGAAAAAAGTACATTTTGGTACAAAGAAATTTTTAATTCCATGCAGTTTTTTCATAACACACATTTTTCCTCGAACTTTTTGAAGACCCCCATGTACAAGGTAAACTAATTTATCCTGTTTTCTGAACAATTTCAAATACTAAGAATGTGATTTTAGTTATCTTTAGAGGTTAATATCAAGGCAACAAGGTGATAATAATGGAGTCATTAAAACTCTATTAAAAAAAAAAAAAAACAACTCTATTAAATGGGGTGAGCAGGGGGCATAGCACCTGTGGTTCAAGTCCTAGACGAACCAGCTTGAAACTCACACTGAGCAGTTGTGCATGCATGCCTGCCCAAAATCCTGAGAGAGAATGAGAAGGGACTGCAGTATAGCCATCCTGCCTGGGAGGTGATTTCTCACTTTCTGTCTCTGTCTCTCCAGCAAGCACATGTGTCCTATAGCAGAAATCTCTCAAAAAAAATAATTTAAATGTACAAGTGTCCAATTAATTTGCTGGGTCAAAAATATTCAGCTCAATATCCCATACTCTCTAAATCTACAGTATTAAAAATGGTATTTATAACAGTAACCTAAGGAACGGCAAAAATATTCCCTTCTGAATTAACAAAATAATGAGACATGTTGAGGTGACTCTAATGTACGCTTACCTACTGGAATTTGTGATTCCCATATGCTCTATGTAATCTTACGACTTTAATACTGAAAGCATCTTACAAATCATCCAGTCTCAACTCCCTCTTGCTGTAGGGGTCACCTCTGCAAGTGAAGATGAGTTATCACCCACTTTCTTTTTGAATATTTTCAGGACCAAGAAGCTTACTATTCTCAATCACAACTTGATTTCATACTGGGCAACAGATACTGCTGGAAAGTTTTCACCCACTCGTTTCTCCAGTCAAATACTTAGAGAAATGCTGTTATATGCAGTGCCTTATCCCAACTGCTGTGTGCAACACAGAGTTTAAATTCCAGGGAGTGGGGCCAGTATGTGGTGTGTTGGTCTAGGACTTGAACGAATGGAGAAGGGACTACAGCACGACCATCCCCACAGGGGGTGACATTACACTTTCCCTCTGTCTCTCTAACTCTCAGGCGAGTGCACATGCCCTACAACAAAACTGAAAGGAAAAAAAAATTCCAGAGAGCTGGGCGAGCCCTGCTGCCCAGTGGGTTGAGGGAGCCAGATCCCACATGGCCAACTGCACATTCAAGTCTCCACCCTGATGGCTTGAAAAACACACCGGGTGCATATGTGTGCATACGCAAAATTCCAATGGAATGGAAAAAGCAGAGAAAAGATTGCGGCTTGACCACACCACACTGGGGTGTGTTTTCTCCCTCTCCCCCTCTCTCCGGAGAGTGCATATGCCCTCTGGCAAACTGAAGAAACAAAACAGAGAGCTTACATTCTGTGAGTCAAATTTTGTCTCTCCCCAAAAGTTGTACATATTGTTAAAAGCTGAAGCAGTAAGTAAGTTAAAACCAAATCTATTTTCCAACTGTTTGGCTAGACATTTTTTTCATGTTAGCCCCCATGGTGCAGAAACAGAGATGCTGTGGTGATTTTCTCCCAATATAATTACAGAATAATAAATGTAGCATAAAAACAAATATTGTGTGTATGTGTGTGTATATAATATAATATATATATTATATACACACACATATAGATATACACATATACATATACATACATACATATATATATATATAAATTTAGATAGCACCAGAATCTTACCTGTTCGACAGCATCTCCCAGGCGCATTTTCCGAGCAGACTGCCCGCTGACCTGGGCTTTTGCTGAATACAAATTAATGTGGAGGTCTGCCACATTCTGGAATTTGGGATGGTCTTTCTCATTGGGATCTACAAAGTGCTCAATTTCTGCCATTGTGAATTCTCTGAAAGCAAAAATATAAGGTATAAAATCTGCATGTGTAACTATAAAAAAACGACACGAGGCCCTCATTTTCAACAGCATTCTACAGGGATAAAGGCCGTACCCTACAGGAATCTCTTATCACTAGATGGAAAATTGGTTTCCTAATGGAATGGCCAAAAAAATTCTCTATTAAGTTTGTCTGGATAGCTGTTATTTCGAGCATATTAATGAAAACTTTATCATTCACTTTTTTTTTTTGATAGATTTTTGCTATAGGGCATGCATACTTGCCAGAGAGACAGAGAGAAACAGCAAGTGAGAAATCACCACCCAGGAGAGGGATGGCCATGCCACAATCCCTTCTCCTCTTGGGATTTTGGGCACCTACACACACGCCTGAGCTGAGTTCACCACCCAAGAATTAAAAAATGTAACTTTACTGAATATAGGGATGAATGGATTTTCAAATTTATTATTTTTGCTTTAAGGTTATTACTTTTATAAGCCTTCTGACCCATGGCAAAGCTTTCTAATACCAGTGTCTATTCTTGTCAAGTTTATATTTAGTTTCAGTTTTATAGGTACATAAGCAGATATATTTAACTACACAAGATCATTTGTAAATGAATTACTGGTAAATGGTAATGCAGTTTTTAAGCTGGTAGTAAGAAATCAACTTCCACGTACAAGTATAAACTTTTATTTCATGCAAAAATTCAAATTTAACACTTTCTTGTTCTTAAGCTAGAAGTGATACTACCAACTTAAAGGTAAGCAGATACTTTTGCTTTCTATGTCTTAGCTGAACAAAAATACATAGCATTTTCATTATTTCAAATAATGCAATATAACTCTTTCTTGAGCAAAATACACCTGGCCTGAGTGTTAAGCTGCCAGATCCAGGACTCAAACCATAGTTGACAACGTGGGAGTCCAGTGGCATAACACCATTATGCCATCTACTGGTCCCATCATTCACTATTTAAACACAATCAATTTCTCTCAAATATTAACTACTTTCATCTAGCCAGATCCAAATAGTTATCATTTTTTAAATAATTTTTTTTAAAGAGAGATTTTTGCTATAGGGGATGTGTACTCTCCAGAGAGACAGAAAGAGACAAGAGAGACAGAAAGCAAGAAATCACCCCCCAGGGGGGATATCCACACCACAATCCCCTCTCCTCCATTCTCCTCTCGGGATCTTGGGCACGCACGCACATGTGCTCTCACATGCGCCCTGTGTGAGTTTAAGCCGCCAGGTCCGGGACTCGAACCACAGTCCGCTACAGGAGAGTCCAGTGACATAACCATTATACCATCTCATGGTCCCTAAAATAATTTTTTAAACAATTAATAGAGTTTTTAAAATTAGGAAAAATATATGCAAATGTCACACACAAAAAAGGAATAATACAGAAAATAGTGATGTCCAAACAAAATGATCTTCCTTAAAGCATTAGTAAGTCTTTATAAATACAACTAAATGAAGCTCTAGAGATCTGCTTTTTAGAAAATGGGAAATTAAAAGTGAATTGAAGTGATTCTTTAACTTTTATAGCAGTTTGATTCCTTCCTTTTCATTACTCTGAACGAGCAAATGACTGATAATGGCAACTTACAGCTGGCTTTTTAGAGTAAGAGCTTCTTAAATAAAGCGGGATTCAAGGCAAAGGAATAAGGCATGAAATGAACAAGCTAACTGTAGGATGATGAAATAAATATGCACATAGTAATGGTTCCCCAAAGAGAGTTCTCTGAATGGCAATTTAAAAGCTACTGAGGGAAAGACATTCTGTTAATTTCATGAGTCAAAATCAAATCTCTCTTCTTTTAAAAATAAAAATCACATTCACCAGTGCACTTTCATAATTATCTCAGAGGCTTTAGAAGTAATGTGAAATTACTTAAATGGGTCCTAAAAATACACAAAATGTACTGCAAAGAGCTTTAATTTTTTAATTTTATTTTTAATGGTGTCTCTTATTTAGTCCTGTAGCATATCTAAGCCATAATTGCCTTTCATTAACTAGCAAACATCTCCTGTGCATGCAGAACAGTGAGAGACACACATGGGGTTGGTCCTCACGAGCTTGGAACTGGACTGACGGCCACTGCACATCTACATGTACGGCAGAACATTAAGGGTCTGCCCGTAACCCCATAAAAAGCTGCTGCCGGGACCAGCAGTTAGCGTAATGGCTATGTCACTGGACTCCCATGTAGTCGACTGCAGTTCTAGTGCCGGACTCCGTGGCTTAAACTAACGCCAGGCGTGTGTGCGTGTGTGCCCAAGATCCTGAGAGGAGCATGCATGCACAAGATCCTGAGAGGAGAATGGATTGCGGCGTGGCCATTCCCCCTGCGGGGTGATTTCTTGCTTTCTGTCTCTCTGTCTCTCTGCAAGCGCACGTGCCCTATAGCGAAAACTTCTAAAAAAAAAAAAAAAAAAAAAGCTGCTGCTGCCAAAGTCTTCTGATCTGTTCTGCCAAGGAATCTCAACACAGTGGCTACAGTTAATAACGCACTGTATGCTTAAACTGGGTAAGAGAGTAGATCTTAAGTATTCTAACACTCATATTAAGTGTTCTCACAAGAAAATAAACGAAAAGATAACTATGTGAAGTGAATACGTTCATCAGTTTGTCCATGGTAATCATTTCACAGTGTGTGTGTGTGTGTGTGTGTGTGTGCATATACATACATCAAAACACCACACTCTACACTATCCACACAACTTACTTGTCAATTTGACCTCAGCAAAGTTGGGGGCAAAAGTAACCTCAGCTCAGACAGGCGACAAGGATCAACACAAATACTGACTGCTCCAGCTCCTTCTTTTGTCCCTGAGTTCAAAGACTACACCTGGGACTATAGGAAACTAAACTGCACCCAGGGCAGGAGGACAGAACCAGCCAATCAAAACGCAATTAAATTTTTAAAAAAGCCCCACAGAAACAATCTAATACTTCTAACTCAAACAAAAGAAATTATAGCTACACAAAAAATTGCTTGACAATTCTGTCATCAAGAAGAAATTGTAACATTAAACAAAACAATTCTAGTCCTAATATGGAACAAAAACCATGAAGATGTTGACTCATGGGAGAATGTTTGGAAGGGTATAGAAAAAAAGTAGCCAAAATCCACATGGGACACTTCAAAGTGAACATGGCCAGAGACTCCACTGTCAGGAAGCCCCGGGCCCTCCTCCAGTCAAACTGAGCTTGCTCCAAGTGCTGAGCTGGGGTTCCCATCCAACACTGTCACTCCACAGCCCCCACCTTCGCCTCACTTGTCCTCTCCTATAATCTTCGCACAGCTGCCCTACCTCATGGAACTCCTCTCCAAAACACTGGCTTTAGACAAATCAGCCTCACACAGCTTCCTCAGAACGGGGAAGACATGCTTGCCAGACAGGACTAGAACAGGAGAAACGGAACACAGAAAGAACACAGAGGGGGACCAGCAGTTAGCATAATGGCTATGTCGTTGGACTCCCATGTAGTCGACCACGGTTCAAGTCCTGGACCCGGTGGCTTAAACTCACGCCGGGTGCATGTGCATGCGTGCCCAAGATCCCAAGAGGAGAATGGAAGAGAAGGGACTGCAGCATGGCCATCCTCCATGGGGGTGATTTCTCACTTTCTGTCGGTCTCTTTCTGGCGAGCGCACATGCCCTATAGCAAAAACCTCTCAAAAAAAGAAAGAACACAGAAAGCACCAGACACTAGGAAATAAAACAGACTCAAATCTGACCTGCTTTTCAAGTCACAGTCCCTGGTTAAAGTTTCTCATGATCTCTTCCTTCTACCCGGAAGCACAGATGGGTCTTTCCACCCCTTTATGTGGTGCGAGTCTCTCCTCCACGGAGTCTCTCCTTCCCTTCCTAAACCTCAGCCTGAAGGGACTAGAGGGCTAGGTACTGTAGCAGGCCAGCCACATGGGCATTCCTCACAGAAGGCATCACAGACACTAACGAGATTAGGCAGGAGCTTTGGGTGCTTTGATCTAGAGTCGGGGGCGAGGATACGCTACAACTGAAGGGCTATGTCGTTGGACTCCCATGTAGTCGACCACGGTTCAAGTCCTGGACCCGGTGGCTTAAACTCACGCCGGGTGCATGTGCATGCGTGCCCAAGATCCCAAGAGGAGAATGGAAGAGAAGGGACTGCAGCATGGCCATCCTCCATGGGGGTGATTTCTCACTTTCTGTCGGTCTCTTTCTGGCGAGCGCACATGCCCTATAGCAAAAACCTCTCAAAAAAAGAAAGAACACAGAAAGCACCAGACACTAGGAAATAAAACAGACTCAAATCTGACCTGCTTTTCAAGTCACAGTCCCTGGTTAAAGTTTCTCATGATCTCTTCCTTCTACCCGGAAGCACAGATGGGTCTTTCCACCCCTTTATGTGGTGCGAGTCTCTCCTCCACGGAGTCTCTCCTTCCCTTCCTAAACCTCAGCCTGAAGGGACTAGAGGGCTAGGTACTGTAGCAGGCCAGCCACATGGGCATTCCTCACAGAAGGCATCACAGACACTAACGAGATTAGGCAGGAGCTTTGGGTGCTTTGATCTAGAGTCGGGGGCGAGGATACGCTACAACTGAAGTCTGTAATTACAGCCAGTAACTAGAGGAGAGGAAATGGGTGGGGCGCTGGGGCCGGGCGAACACTTTTGGAGCCTAGGAAAGTTACGTGTGGTTATACATCCTACCTTAATATGGAAGTGTTACTCTAAGAGATATCAGAAAGAAAACGTGTAGAAATTACAAAAGGTTTAAGTAAAACAGTCGAGTCATTAAGTTCCTAAAGAAAAGACTGAACAGTGCCAGTGTTCTCCCATACATTGCTGGGAACAACGCATGGAAACGGGCAACCGAAACAGAGGCAAGTCACTGTCCCGACGAAGCTGATGGAGGACAGGCTTGAGAACTGGCCTTTTTGTCATGTAAGCACTCTCCCCCCGCAATCCCCAATTATTTGAAGATTGTGTCCAGAATACCAACTGGTTACGGAAATACCCCTACCCCAACTCTGTAAAGCTGCCTGCTAAGGACACCTAGAATGAGCCTCTTGTCATGCCCACCCCGCACCCCCAGCCCACCGTATGCTACTGCCGGGCCTGCCTGGGTTTACACAATCACTATCTTACCGTCCTGAGAACATGAACAAGGAAAAGATCAGTTAAAGCAGGTCATAAACTTAAGCTATTTTCAACCTCCTTTCTTTTCCTCTCAAACTCACTTTCATTACTCAAAATTGACTGTCACCCCAAAGATTGCATTTGGAGATTACAGACCTAAAACATGTTCTTCAGAGAAGCCAAAAATAAACCCACATCCCAATTATGAAGAAGCGTTGAAAAGGACAAGCTTTCACTTCCACGTCAATGCAAGTCACTCATTCATCTGTAAGAGTAACATGGATAGTACCTGACTCTGATCAATCCAGATCGAGGTGAGATCTCATTCCTAAAAGAATTTCCAATCTGGGCAGCAGCGAAAGGCAACTTTCCTTGGTTGAATTCCAAAAGTCGCTTGAAATTCAGAAAAATCCCCTGTGCGGTTTCCGGTCGCAAATACCTATTAATTTAAGTAAACCAGTCTGTTATGAAGAAAGAAATGATGTTTCCCAGGAAACCTGAGATTCTAGATACAAATCCTGGAAGTCTTAAATATAACATTTTCACAAGAAAGCTCTCTAGCTTAAAAGAGGTTTCAGAACAGATTTTCCTCCGTAAAAAACATTCTCATAGCAAGCATAGAAACTGCGTTAAGTAACTAGTACGGCAAGACTGTTAGTGTGCCATTTTACTTAACTACTCCAGTGAATCAAAACACCTCCTCCAGGGCCAGCTGCTGGTGTGGTGGTAAGGCGGCTGGATCCCACATGGCCAGCTATCTATTTCGACTCCCAGACCCGGTGGCTTGCTCATGTTAGGTGTGTGAGCATGCGTGCCCAAAATCCTAAGAGGAGAATGGAGAAGGGACTGTGGCATGGCAATCCCCCCTAAGGAGTAATTTCTCTCTCTCTCTCTCTCTTTCTCTCTCCGTTGAGCAGCCTAAAACAAACTTTAAAAAAATAAATGAAATAAAACAAAACAGAAAAAAACACCTCTCTCACAGTACCCCTTAAAATCTCTGAAGTTCTAGAGTAATCGTGTACATAAAGGCAAGTGAGGATTTTAGATTCTTCTGAAAGTAAGACCCATACCTAAATATTGCTCTATTAACCCACAAACTATTAACACTAGACCTCACTCGTCACGTAACAATCACCCCACCAAGCCGGGTAATTTTCAAGGTTTTTCATGGTGTTTTACTCTTTGCAATATTTTATATTTTCTACCATAGGTTTCTATATTTTTCTGCATTTTAAAGACATATTCAAGCTAATACACTATTGGGTCTTCCTCAATTTCACAGAAAATATATTCAACATTCACTAAGAAAGTGTTCCTGGATTCAGACAATGGAGTAGCAGGTAAACGTGAAGCTTCTTAAGGAAGACCCACACTTCGGAAGGTTCTGAGTTTATATTCAGAGGCTTGAGCACTGACACACGCACGTCGACGGTCTGGGGCCGGTGGAAGGTGGTGATGGATCCCAGCATCAAGGCATTATGAGGGCTGCTGTTTCTCTGCCTCTTTCTCTCTCTGTTTTCCTCACTCAGTGAAGAAATAAATAAACTTTAAAAAGTGAGACCAGCAGGTGGCATGGTAGTTAAGGCACTGGACTCCTATGTGGCTGATTTCATTTCAAGTCCTGGACCTAGCAGCTTGAAAATCATGTATGTGAGAGTCCAAAAATCCCAGGAGGAGAGTGGAGAAGGAATTGGCCATCTCCCCCAGGGGATGATTTCCCTTTTACTGTCTCTCTCTAGAGAGTGCATGCACCCTATGGCACAAATAACAAAATAAAAATAAGTGTTCCCAATGGCTCACTTCAAAATAAATATTTTCTAAAACAACTTTAAAACCAAGGAGAATGACCAGCAGAAGGTGTAATGGGTACGTCACTGGACTCGCATGTGGTCGACCACGGTTCAAATCCCGGACCTAGCAGATAAAACTCATACCAGGAACATGCACTTGTGTGCCCAGAATCCTAAGAGGAGAATGGAGAGAAAGGGACTGCAGTGTAAACATCGTCCATGAGGGGTTATTTCTCACTTTCTCTCCAGCGAATGTATGCACCCTATGGCAAAAATCTCTTTAAAAAAAAAAGGGGGGGGGGGCCGCTAACCAAAAATGTCATCCCCTTCTTAATCTAACAGACCAATTCTTTTCGGTTTTGTGGTACTTTTCAGATTTCATCTAAATATAAGAATAGCTGTGGTGTATATGTCTGCTTATATCTAGAATGTATAAAATTATGTATCACTGCATGTATTTTTATACTTCTCTATTTTCTAAATAATCAATATTTTCTCCTGTTTAACAGCAGCAAAGTATTATACTAAAATGATCTACTTTATTATAATTTGTCTAATCACCCTCAATTAGATATGAGGTTGTTGTACTTTAAATTTGAACATTTTATCTTTTTTTTTGGCGGGGGGGAGAAGTTTTTGCTATAGGGTGCGTGCGCTCGCCAAAAAGACAGAAAGCAAGAAACCAGCCCCCAGGGGGGGATGGCCATGCCGCAATCCCTTCTCCTCCATTCTCCTCTCAGGATCTTGGGCATGCACGTACACGCACCCAGTGTGAGTTTAAGCCACCGGGTCTGGGACTCGAACCACAGTTGACTACATGGGAGTCCAGCAACATAGTCATTATGCTATCAGCTGGTCCCAAATTTGAACACTTTTTCTAAGTATAGTTTCCTATCCTTTTGAGCTATTTCCCTAGATAAAGTCCCAAGAATGGAACGTCTGGGTCCGAGGATACGTTCCATTTGATGACTCTCTGTAGGTACTATCAAAATGAAAGGCTTACTGTTGACCTCTTTTCACAAACTGTCCCAAGTCAACCTGGCATCTTATAATAATAATTAATTGTGACACATTTTGTCAAAAATTGTGTCACAATTAATTATTCTTATTCTTTAGTTTTCACTCCAGGAAATATGATCTATCCCATTTCATCTAGCAAAAACCTACTCTTACCCTGAATGAGATCTTAAGAAAAACGTCTGAAGCTATGAAAAGGGACACTTTGGCTAGGTCTATTAAAGTAAGACTTAAGACAAGGAATCTGGAAATACAGGTTACAATTCGGGATCATACAGCATACTATCCACGTTTGTTCTTGGTTTTGTTTTGTTTTTGCCAGAGAGCACATGCGCTAACCAGAGAGAAAGAGAGAGAGAGACAGACAGACAGAGAGAAAAGTACCCCCCATGGTGGATGGTCACAATCCCTTCTCTTCCATTTCTCTATCCTTTAGGATTTTCAGCATCCATGCACATGTGTCCAGCATGTTTTCAAGCTGTCGGCATCCATGCACATGTGTCCAGCATGTTTTTCAAGCTGCAGGGTCCTAGACTCAAACTGTGCAGTCAGCCATGTGTGATCCAGCCACCATCATGCCACCAGCTGGCCCTAGGTTTTCTTTACCTAAGAAAATCACATCTTTCAAATGAATAGGCTATAGCTATGCTGTTCAATATATTACTACTTAAATTTAAAGAAATTAAAATGAAATAAATTTAAAAATTCAGCTCCATAGAAGCACTAGAACCATTTCTAGCGCATGTGGCTTGTGACTACCAAACTGGACAGCCCGTGCCGGATTAAGGTTTCCAAAACACCATTCAGTCATAATTAGTCAGTGACTTTTTTTTTGGAGAGGTTTTTGTTATAGGGTGCATATGCTCGCCAGAGAGACATAGAGACAGAAAGCGAGAAATCACCCCCCAGGGGGGATGGTCACGCCGCAATCCCTTCTTCTCCATTCTCCTCTCGGGATCTTGGGCATGCACGCACACACGCCCGGCGTGAGGTTTAAGCCACCGGGTTGGGGATGCAAACCGCAGTCGACTAGATGGGAGTCCAGCGACATAGCCATTACACTAACTGCTGGTCCCTAGGTCAGTGACTCTTAAAACCATCCTTTAACTGTCCCTTCTGCCCTCTGCAGCTTTAACTAGAGAACACAAGGATCACAAGCATGTTTATTTTATGGCCAAGAAAAAGATCAGCATATACACTTAAAAAAAAGAGATTATATCCAGAAAGAATAAGGGATAAAATGTAAGAATATGCCCATAATTATTTTTTAACATAGTCATCTGTACTTTACATCACTTTTCAAAATCTTTCCCTCACAGCTGTAGTATTTACTTTTTATTATAAGCAACTTAATAACTGTATTACATAAACAGACACATAGTAAGTGATACATACCCAGGCATGTTCCCTCCAGGCCCAATGAAGGTCTTGAACATTAAGTTAAAAGGTACTGGAGGGGACAGATCATTTCCAGTAACGGGAGACTTTACATTGTAATTCACGAAAAGATCCCCAAGTTCTTGTTGTCCATAGTTGTCGAGCTAAAGGATACATGAAAACAAACAAATAAATAGTGTAAAAGACCAAGAGAAAACAAGGCATAGAATAGTGTTATGTACAACCTCACCTATCCCGTTACAACTCACACGAAATTCAACATCAGCAGAGTTCCCATTTTCCAACCAGAAATAGAGTACCTTCTGGGACTGACCTAAAACGCACACATGCACGACCTCACAATGAAAGATAAGGTAAAACGCCTCTTATTCAAAACAGTTATAGGTTGGCCAGAATCTAAAATTACATAATTAAGTTCTCAAAGTTGAATTTTACCACTCTGAACAAACTCAGAGACAGGTGTATTTCCTTGCCTACTCAGTAAATGTGCACATAACTTTCTTTTCCTACCAGATAGGAAGCTACTTGAAGATAGAAGCTATCTTTCATCTTTGTGTTTTCCAGTGTATTACACACTCTACACATTGATGATCAAAGTCAAATCCTATAAAATAATTTATTAAGTCAATGGGGGCCAGCAGGTGGTGTGGTGCTAAGGGGCACTAGACTCCCCGTATGGCTGACTGTGGTTTGAATTCCAGCCCTGGCAGCTTGCTTTCTCTCTCTCTGTCCCTCTCTGGCCAAATTAAAATAAGTAAATAAATACATAAATAAAGTTAAATTAAAAATTCTTAAAATAAAATTTAAAAAATAATAATTTATTAAGTCAAGAATTTCACATGGCTCCGGCAAACCAGTTAATAGCAAACATTAAAACTTTTTAAAATCTCCTAACAATAAAATAATTCAATAAATCAACTCATAGCCATAAGACCTAAGGCTTTTGAGTCAAAAATACCTAGATATACCTCCCATCTACCACTTATGGGCTGTGTGACTCAAGATGAAGTTCCTACCTAACCTTCTGAGCCTCAGTTTGCTTATCTGTAGAATGGAGAGATCAGAACGTACCCCACTGTGAAGGACTACTATGAAGACTAAATATGTAGGACCTGGCGCATAGTACCTACTTAATAAAAAGTAACTATTACAATTCACATTTGCTCCCTTCATAAATCCAATGGGCATTTTCACTTTACAAAAAGGTAACCAACTTGGCCTGACCACATGTTCCAGATTTGACCTGAAACTAAAACAAAATACATAGACTAACTGCATATCTAGCTGGTGACCTCACTACACAGAGAGAATGACTCCACATGACTTTACACGCAATTATCATATGATTATAGGCAGCACAACTGCACATTGCTGGTACATTTCTAAGGGAAAAAAGAACAAAACAATTATTTAAACTATTTTCCAAATTCATATTGCTAATTGTGGCACCAATAATGTCATTCTGAGACTGTTACACATAGATAGCCAGGAAAAAGGTACATGGATGATTATGTTAGTGCTGCTGAGTTTGACATGCATAAACAATTTATAGATTAATAAAGTAAAACAAAATCTAACATTGAGTAGATCTATCAATATTAACTCACGAATTGATCTTAAAAAAAAAAACAACTATGGGAACCAGCAGTTAGCGTAATGGCTATGTCGCTGGACTCCCACGTAGTCGACCGCGGTTCGCGTCCCGGACCCAGTGGCTTAAAACTCATGCTGGGCGCATGTACGTGCGTGCCCAAGATCCCGAGAGGAGAGTGGAGGAGAAGGGATTGCGGCGTGACCATCCCCCCTGGGGGGTGATTTCTCGCTTTCTATCTCTATGTCTCTCTCTGTCTGTCTGGCGAGCGCACGCGCCCTACAGCAAAAACCTCTCCCCCCCCCAAAAAAAACAACTGTGATTTCCTAATTCAGTCTACGATGACCAAATACCATTGCCACCATTAAGTGCAAGAGCTGTGAGGAAAAAATGGTGGATTCCAGTCAGAGACAAGAAATGCACAAGCCGAACCTGCAATACTTGGTCATACTAAAGAAGGGAGGAAATGATCAAAGACTAGAGCTGTGTCAAAGGACCACAGCAGACAACTTGTGGTAACCAAAGACTCGACAATTTAACCATCAATGAGGATAATAAATGGAACGGACTGAAAAAGACCCAATGTTTTCATCTGTAAGTTCGTAACAGTAGAAGGAAGAGAAGCAGCAGGCAGGGTTGAACTCCCCCGTCCCCATTCATCAAAGGGCATGTGCATTTGCCAGATAGAGACGGAGAGAAAGGGAAAGGGAGAAAGCAGCCCTCAATGGGGGATGGTCATGCCGCAATAGGGTACATAGTGACTCCCAGGAAGAAAAAGCAAAAAGTTAGGCATAAAGACAAAAGGTATAGTCAGCCCAGATACATGTATCAATGTAAAATAAAATAAGTATAAACATAATACTAGTTTTGTCTGTTTTCATGCAAGGACGTTATAAAATTAAAGAGAGCATTAGTGGAATTCATAACTAACCATAGTATTGGAAAAATACTTTGCTTAAATGCAACAGCGGATAAAAGAGGTGAGAAACCAAAACTATATATACATAGACACATACACCTCTTCGGGGAGAAGACACGTAGTTTCCATCAAATCTTAAAGTAGTTTATAACAAGAAAAGGGGTAAGAACTGCGTCAAACGCAGAGGGTATGCCTGCACTTGGTAAAAGGCTAGAATTAATGATCTCTATAGTCTCCTTTGCCTTCCCCAAAACTTGTTTACTTAAATGCAAATTATAAAACTTCAGATCTACCAGCAAACTGGGAAAAGCAAGGTCAGAAAAGCAGGGCCTCCTCACAGGTTCTAAGAAAAACAGCACGTGGTCAGGAGTCCAACCAGAAGCAGATCAAGGGGCTGAGACCCAGGGCTCAGTCACCCGCCCCACATCTCCACACCAACACTGAGCACTACTCACCATTTACTCCTGGGGTTTTAGCTATTAAATCTAGAAAACTGCTTTCAAGGAGAGACAACTAATTTATTGTCTATTTACATTGACTTGTTAGTCTGAGCTGAAATAAAAGGTTAGCTACAAAAAAAAAAAAAAAAAAAAAAAGAAAAAAAAAAAAAAAGAAAAAAAAAAAAAAAGAAAAAAAAAAAAAAAGAAAAAAAAAAAAAAAGAAAAAAAAAAAAAAAGAAAAAAAAAAAAAAAGAAAAAAAAAAAAAAAGAAAAAAAAAAAAAAAGAAAAAAAAAAAAAAAGAAAAAAAAAAAAAAAGAAAAAAAAAAAAAAAGAAAAAAAAAAAAAAAGAAAAAAAAAAAAAAAGAAAAAAAAAAAAAAAGAAAAAAAAAAAAAAAGAAAAAAAAAAAAAAAGAAAAAAAAAAAAAAAGAAAAAAAAAAAAAAAGAAAAAAAAAAAAAAAGAAAAAAAAAAAAAAAGAAAAAAAAAAAAAAAGAAAAAAAAAAAAAAAGAAAAAAAAAAAAAAAGAAAAAAAAAAAAAAAAAAAGAGAAAAAAACAGACATGTAAAAAGAGACACCATGAAGGATTGACAGTAAACTTTGCTTCTTTACCACCTGTGGGGGCCAGACAGCATCACAACAGTAAATTATGACACCCTGCAAGGCTGATCTACCTAGAAGGTTCCAGGTTCGAGTCTGAAGACCTCCACGAGTATACCGGGCATGCATGTGCCCATGGTCTGGGAATAGACCACAACATCAAGACCCCAGTAGGGGAGTTGTCTGTCTCTCTTGTGGAAAAAATAAAGAACTTAACTGGAAATAAACAGAACTATGACCGGATCAGCACAGTGTGGAATTCAACAGTTATCAAACGCAGAAAGACAGCATGCACCTAGGTTACTCTGGAAACGTCGAATGCACTGACCTGGGCCAAGACACTTTCCATCTCTGATTTCTTCTCAGCAGAACACTTCTTATCAGACATCAGTTTCTGTAAATGAGCTGCGAGAGCAGCGTTGATACAAGTCAACTCCAATCAATGGCAAAAAGAACAACGCACAGTTTCAGTGCTAAATAATTAAAAAATAAACCTAAGGATACTAGTCTCAATTATATGGACCTATGACTGATTTTATAAGGACAGTTACGATGTTGTTTTGATTCTTTCACTACTTACTATAGAAAACCCATCTGTGAAGGGGCCAAATGGTGGCCCAGCAGCAAAACGCAACACTCTGTGAGGCAATCACACATGGGAAGGTTCCTGGTTCAAGTCCAGAGACTTCCTGATTATGTCTGTGACTGGGGCTAGCTGAAGACTGAGGGTAGATGGTAGAATCAGGACCCTATTGGGGTGCTCATGCATGTATTCTTTATCACTCTCATTCAGGGATGGAAAAAATAAATAAAATTGTAAAATAGAAAAATTCGCTGTACCGTTTTACTTCTTAAAACTAAAAAAAAAAAAAGAAAAGGCATTAAAAATACCTATTCGATGACAGCAGTAAGATATATCGCGCCAGCTAGGTGCTATTTTATAGGATGTTCATTCTACTCAATGAGGCTTACGCCTAAAGTTGGACTTGTGGTTCACGGAAATGTATATGTCAGCTGTGCTTGCTATGAAAATATTTATATTAATTAAGATTTTTAGTGACTCAATAAAATGTGAGGGAAAAGAATTATAGAGAGCAAACATAGATACCAGAGACAGTGTGGGAGGAGAGTGGGAGATGGCAGAGGGTAAGAGACAGGGAATCAAGGATGGGAAAAAAAAGCAAAACATACAGGAAACAAGAAATGGAAAATTACTTGTTGACGATAACATGTATGTTGATGCGCTTGATTGAGTCAATATACGGTGTACTCTGGATGGGAAATCTCATTTTGTATGCTGTAATGATGTACAGTGAATGAATGTAAATAAATAAATTTAAATAAATTTAAAAAAAAGAAGAAGAAGAAAGATGGCCTGGCACCATAAATAGTTCTGCCTGGCAGAGAGGATTAGAGAAGATATATGAAAAAATTTATAACATAAAATAACCTGGACTTTTCCAGCCCAGCATTATTATCAGTAGAGATTGCAAAAGAACAACTACACCAGAGGATAATCCTGAGAAAGATGGCGAAAGAAGAAAAAGAGACTGATCTTTGCTAGCAGAGGGTATATCACAGAATACACTTGGGCAGGGCTGAACTGAGAAGGTTTATGTGTGACTACTGCACTGGGCATTTGCTTCTCAACAATTTGAGTAGTTGACATATAAATATGTTCTCAAAAATATTAAAAACCACAATGTTTCTATTGTTATAGAGTCACAAACAAAATTATACAAAATTATAAAAAATATTTTGAACATTATCTTTAAAATTCAGTATTTTGGAATTTTGAAAGTTGTTTATGAAGAACTATGGAGTATGAGCAAACGTTTTTTAATATGTAAAGTAAATGTTTGTGAAAAAATGTAAAAAGGGAACCAGCAGTTAGTGTAATGGCTATATCGCTGGACTCCCACGTAGTCAACCGCAGTTCACACCCCGGACCCAGTGGCTTAGAACTCACGCCGGGCGCGTGTACGTGTGTGCCCAAGATTCCGGGAGGAGAATGGAAGAGAAGGGATTATGGCGTGACCATCCCCCCTGGGGGGTGATTTCTCGCTTCCTGTCTCTATGTCTCTCTCTGTCTGTCTGGCGAGCGCACACACCCTATAGCGAAAACCTCTCCCCCTCCAAAAAAAAAAATGTAAAAAGAAATAAAAGATAAATAAATAAACGAAAAGAAAAAAAAAAGATCTGTGCACTTTACTTTGGCTTCAATAAAAAAATTAATGGAAAAAAAGAGTTTAATCTAAACCTTTTGTTCTGATCAATCCTACTTAAAGGGGATGAAGAACCATACCTTTTAAGAGATGATCAGCGCGAAAGCACTCTCCATTTTTCACATCTTTCACCATGAAGTCAGCAAATTTGTCTACATGGCCTGAGGTCCTGTGGTAACAAAGGCCAAGCCAATTTGTCATTTTCACACAACTTAACACATAAATCTTACCTTACATGACAATCCCCCTTAAATATGTTTCTCCATAGTTTACATCTAGGCCTCTCAAAGGCGGAAGCTCCCATATCTATAATAACGACGTGTTCACAGTAGATGATCATATTTGCCACAGAAAATTCTTCCTTAAATCTATTCTCTCTCTCTCCCAAGTTCTTCCTTCCCAACGGAAAAAAGACAATAACTAGGTTATGCTTTTTTTGGAAGCTGTCACAAAGTCTGTACTTCATTGCCAGGTCAATTAATCCATGCCTATGCCATTATAATTAGTGACCTAAGCAAAAGCCACAACCATTGGGGATTTGACAAGCCAAGAACTCATGACGGCTCAGAGTCTGAACCAGAAGGACAGAGCTTTCTGCCAGTACAACCTGTATGGCCACTGGTACTGCCTCCACAAAGCCGGAGGAGTGGAGCAAGCAGCTACGTGAACAGGTAGTGCTGGTCTTACACTCCATCAGCAGCAGTTGCTCTTGTCTTAATTGGCTAAAATTATAATGAAAACCCAAAGTATGCCAAGAGCAAACACCACCTCTTTACCAGGCAACATTAAATGAATAATGAGAAGTGATGAGATACAAAATGGTAAGAATTCTTCTTCCCCAGTTTTATACTCAAGAAATGGATATCTTTGGCCAGAAGTTGTAAGAATTTATAGTAAAGAAATAATCAAGGATACACACAAAAATCCATCTATTGCACATCTACACTACAAAATCAGAAACATCTTAAATGCTCACAATGATACTAACTAAATAATGACGCATCAATAAAAGAGTACTATGAATGCTTTTAACAAATATTTAATGATATGTGTAAATGTTTACTTATAGCACATTAAAAAAAAAGCAGTGTGCTAACACTGGAATATATGGGGACACACAGAAAAAAAAAAAAGAATGAAAAGATAAGCACAACTCTACCAGGGCTATCTGTAAGTAGCAGATATAAATTTTCTTCATCTGCATCTTCCAGATTTTCTATATCAACCAAGCTACATTTTTGGAATCAGGTAACTTATGCATATTAAAGGATTTCCACTCTCAAAGTAGGAGCTTACTTTAAAACTGGCTCAGGAGTCAGCATGGTGCAATCGATCTCCAGGATTTGTTCCTCTTGGATAAAGTGCTGCCTCCAGGTCTGAATGATGTTGTTCTTCAAAGCACATCCAACTGGCCCGAAGTCATACAAACCACTAACACCTGTAAAATATGAGGAAAACATGATCTTCCCCACGTTACTCTGAACAAATAAAGACAAGAAGACATGAGGTGACACCTGTTAAGACTTGACATACTTCCTAAAATTTATTGAAGTCAATCGATCAAATCCCTAATACCAAAAAGCTTTACTTCCACCTAGCTAACAGCAAGGAAAAGAAAAAGCTCTTACTCCACTCAGCTCTTACTCCACGCACTAATTCTGTATTTGTAATTTCAAGTAGGAATAACCCAAAAGTAAAAAGAAAAGAAGTTCCCCATATACAAGAAACAGAAGGGGGACCAGCAGTAAGCGTAATGGCTATGTCACTGGACTCCCACGGAGTCAACTGTGGTTCGAGTCCCGGACCCGGTGGCTTAAACTCACGCCAGGCGCATGTGTGTGCGTGCCCCAAGATCCCGAGAAGAAAATGGAGGAGAAGGGATTGTGGCATGGCCATCCCCTCTGGGGGGTTGAGTTTTCTCTTTCTATCTCTCTGTCTCTCTCTGTCTGTCTGGCGAGCGCACGCGCCCTATAGCAAAAACCTCTCCAAAAAAAAAAAAAGAAACAGAAGGGAAAAGGAGATTAGTTTGCAGCTGTGGAAATCAGAAAATAATTTCTCACAGCAGCTGATAACAATGACCTAAAATTTTAACATCTAATTCTCTAATTTATTTTTAGGTATTTATGCCACTATTTAAACCTCAAGAAGTTAAGCATTTAGAGATTGGCTTAGCCAAATTCAAATCAAGTTTCCAAAGCAAAGGGCTATGAGTCTAACATTGTTGTAATGATCTCTGGTGATTATGAAAAATACAGTTCTATATTTAACCAATTAATTACACTTGCCTATATACCTTCAATATAGCATTCAGAAAGATGTGGTTTATCTATATACAGATGAAGAATGCTTTCCTCTGTCCTTGTATGAAGGAGCACAGTATAGTCAGTCAGTACTACAAGAGTCCTCTAATTTTCCCAAATCTCCACTGGCTTTTAAGAAGTGTATGGGGCCAGCAGGTAGTGTGGTGCTTAGGGTGCTGGATTCCCACATGGGTGACCATGGTTTGAGACCAGGACCCAGTGGCCTGAAAATCACAGCAAATAAACAGATAAATAATTTTTTTAAGTGTGTAAGTATATGGACATAATACTTAATACCTATATCCTCAACAATTTTCTAGATCTTACTAGGAAAAAAGCAATCTTTAAGAATAAATAAAGTAAGAGGAACCAGCAGTTAGCATAATGGCTATGTCGTTGGACTCCCACGTAGTCGACCATGGTTCGCATCCCGGACCCGGTGGCTTAAAACCCACGCCG